AGTTGAGAATTATTTACCTAAATGCTTATTCATTGGCACACAAATGTTTTCTTCAGTGCTTTTTCTATATATGATGTTTTGCAGCACCAGTCTGGCATCATCAGACATCTACCCACCAGCATTTTAAAGATTTTTCCACAGAGCCATAAAATTGCACCTTCCTTGTTGAACTTAAAATCCAGCCCACCTGTAATAACAGAGCAGTGGAACAGTATGGATCTCTCCTGGATGTCTGCAGTGCAGTGAGCTGGGGTGGCTTGCCTTCACACTGAAATAAAGGTCATGTCCTAATGTTATGCCTTCCTGTTTAAAATTAATGGCTTGTAAATGTTTATCTCAGCTAGAAGTGAGAACATGGTCTACGTCTGTGCTCTCCAATTCCCTCTTGGAGAAGCCATGCAGTGAAACAGCTGCATATCCCTTCACATCCTTCTCTTGCTGTTAAACATGTACATCTCTGGCTTCAGCTCTTTGCCAGGTTTCCCCCTGCTCATGTTTGGATTCCATGCTAAAGCTTGAAGTAGTGTTGTCTGGATTTATAGTGGGTTACATTGTTTTCTCCAGGAAAGAGCAAGTGAAAGGGACCAGCCCAGCACAAAAGGACTGACGATCCATGCGCAGCGTCACACAGTAGAGTTTCTTCAGTTGTGCCAATAGGTATTGCAGTGAAAAATGTCTGGAGGCCAGTTGGAGCTACTTCTCTAGAGACAGGGCCAAAGTATACAGTATACTGGCTTTCATTTTGCTGTTTTTGGACAGTCAGGGCTGCTTTCCATTTCCTACAATGTTCCAATATAACCAAATCACGTGTGCTCGGTAATGGAAGCTTCTGAGACCTGGGGCTTCTGTGAAAAGGAAAAGAGCAAAGTAGTATTTATACAGTATAATATTTTGATTTGCTAATGGGCTGTGAGGTGGGTGTTATCATGAACTACTGTGAAGCAAGACAGGTTTCTAAAACGTATCAGTTTACTCCATCTCCAAATCATTGCAGATAACAGAGTGTTTAGTTTCTAATTAGACTTGTGTTGTACTAATTCTCGTGAGCAGTGCAGCTGATTGACATGCTGCCTTTTAGTGGCAAGTAGCAGAGCAGCTGAGTGGAGCTCAGTAATGATGCCAGCATCCAGCTGCTGAGGAAAGCACGCTGCTCCCAGAGTCTGATTTGCAGGATGAACACACACTGATTGGTGTGGCCTTGCTCTGAGGGGAAGGAGGAAATAAAGACACATAGTCTTCAATTAGACTAATGATATTCTAGTCCTAAAAGGATTAGGAAAGAAATGTCTAACTGAAAATAAAAATCCAATATGTAATAATTCACAAATCATGTATTTACTTTGGATAGTTTTTTGCACTGTTTCTTAGGAGAAGGATGACCATTATTCCTTTTCTGTGCCTCAGTCCCCTGTATTTAAAATACAGATGGTTCATCCTAAATGCTGGTTTCTGTACATGTAAGTAGTAAGCGTAACCTTGAAGGCAGAGCCTTGTGAACTGTTTCTTGATGGAACATGCCAGAGCAGCATAGGCATTTTATGTAACTAAAATTATTTCAGAATCATTTTTGCCAGCACTTTCCTTTGTAGCCAGCTCAAGTCAATATGTTTGGTAGTGCAGTTCCACTGTGGAAATAAAAATAACAGTATAGATTTGATATAGACAGTCTCTTTGAGCTAGGCTGGGTTACTGTAAGGAACATCCCCTAGCTCAAACCCTCTAATCTAATCAGTCCCTTCAGTCAGATTCTTCATATAAAGTTTGGCTTTTTCAAATCATCATCCTCATTGCATTCAGCACTAACAAAGGCTGTGCCTGTGACTCTTGGATGTCATTCATGTAGCATTTGATTTTTTCACAGCCTTTAAAGCTCCTGTGAGGCCAAGCAGGGCTGTTCCTCTGCTTTAGGGGCTTTTTGGGCCACACATACGTGTGTTAAAGGAGAGGGGCTGTCTAAGGAGTGGCATTTTCTCAGGATGATCAAGCTGTGGCTTGCTGCAAATCCCATCTGCCCTCTCCACATGCAGCATTAGAGGCCCTTCCTGGAACAAGCTCCTCAGGGATTTACCTGCATAAGGTTGCTGGTACGCGGTCACTGGAAAGGCAGATGGGACACATGATGACAGACTTGGACCAGTTGCATTTGGCAGAGAACAGACCTATGGAGTAGGATAGTGACTGTATGGGTCAGAATTTCTTTTTAAGTGGTACTCCTTGTGGGATCTCATCCCCCAGTCAAATAGAAAATATTGTAGTACAAATAGCAGTGGTACCATGCAGGGCTTGGATTTTCAGAATTGCCAAGTGGGCACTGCAGGCTACAGAGTATATTTGTGCAAACCATGGAACAGATAAAGGTATTTGCTCCTGTCTCTGTGCTTCAGCCTGTCAGGGATACTTTTTTGCAGGCTGTGTAAAGAAAGGTCAGATTTTGCTTTGTCATTTGACGTTGGGGTGAATTGATTAGACTTGACAGCCACGACAATATCCCTGGTAATAAAACTTAATCTTGAAGTAAGAATGACACATTTGTTTTCTGCTTGTGAAAGGAAGGTGTAGGGCAACCCAGACTTCTCATACTGTTTTGTCCCTCTCAGATAATGCAAAAAGAAGGCTCTGGACTTGGCAAGAACTTCAGGAAACTTGGGGGGAAAATCATGTGGCATAAAAATTCACTTGACCCAATTGTGGGCAACATGTTTTAAGTATATGAACTTGTAAAGTGTTCATGCTTTTTAATACTGAGTGAAAATGTTCTGCTACTTGCTGTGAAGATGAAACTTGTCTTGGACTTCACTGGCAGTGAAACCAGACTTGCTACAGATCTGTGTTGCAGATTAGGTCATTTACTCATATTTCAGTTATGTTTTTTCCAGTTTCTCTTCCTCCACTGCTCTGTTAAAGTAGTGCTGCTGCCTGGAGTGCCATAGGCATTTAAAAGGCTTCAAGCATTAAAAGAGAAATTTGAGGTCCTTTTTCTTAGTCAAACAGTTTTTTATGTACCAAGTAGAGTATTTTATGCTGCTCAAGGAAATGGATATGATTTGCTATACTTTGAAATAACACAAAAGCGATTCCATCTCTCCTTGAAGCCAGTGAGAACTTTCCACTTGCTTTCAGTGGGAATTTGCAAGCAACCCATGGCGCAGTTTCTGTCAGAGCAAGAGAAAGCTGAGAATCCATAATACTATGCAAATGTAAAATGAAAGAACTTGTTGCCATATCATTTACACATTTCAGAGAGAAACAGTCTTAGTTTTGGAGGAAGAGTCCCATAAACTTGTTACAGGCACTCTCACATCCAGAGAAATCTAGCGAAAGAGTCCAGAGGAAGAAGTGTGCAACTGCTCTCCAGCCTGGTAGTGTTTTTTGTTTAAGTGTGTGTTAGAGTATGGGGTAGGAGTGACCACCTTCTTGTCCTTGTCCTGGGTGTTCCATTCAATCTGCAAGATGAAGTGTCAGCTGCTATTTGAATGTGAAATAATCACCAGTAAATCATAAAGTCCAGAATTCTTGCTTTTGCAAAGCAGAGCTTGAAATAGAAGAACTCTAAGGAAGACATCTCTTTTTTTTAAAGAAGGTTTTCCCCTGGGCTTTCCCTGCCACAAGCCAGCAGAAGTTTGGCTGCCTCAGAGCGGTTCCCTGTGCACCTGCTGCTCACTGTGCCTGAGCAGCCCTGAAAAGGGGAACCCAGCATTGGGCCGTGTGTCAACGGAAATATATGGGTGTATACACCTATAGATATATATATATATATATATATACACACCTTCCAGACACCTGCATCAGCAGGATGGCAGCAAAATGTCTCATGTTCCCTCAGCATGAGGGATAAGCCTTAAAATTCTCCAGGACAGTGAGGCATCTCTGCAGCTGTGGAGAGCTTGGGGCCTTGTCAGGCATTCTTGCACCTCTCAGCTTATTCTTGTTTCACCTTGGTAGAGCTAAGACTAATTATTAGATCCTCAGCTTAGACTCCCAGCAGTTTCTCAGTGCACAGAGTTTATCATTTTCCACTAGCCTTACAGTTTACTGTAGGGATATTATATACTTGCAGCTACTGGCAGAATTTGCTTACCTGGAAATGAACTCCATGGCATGTTACTGAAGTGTAAATCATTTCATCTCATCCAAATAGTGGCCACTTCATCCTTTTTCATAATATACCTTGCCTTAATATTGGAAAACAATGAGTGATTTTGGGTGATCGGGTTCAGCAATCTTCAGAGAGATCCAGAATCTTTAGAAATTGTAGTTAGGGAAGATTGTATCTCCTAAAATCACATTATCCCAAGTTTTGAAAATCTCAGGCTTGCTTATTCATAAGAGACCCAAGCTCAATGTCAGTTAACCAGATCTTCCACAAAGGTAGAGCACATTTTCTTACTGGCCTTGAGAGAAAACAATTCTGTGGTGTTCGTTCTGATGAATTTAGAGGAATTTAACAGGGCATTTTCAGCTTGTATGGACTGGTGCAGCATCACTTTACTCAGTGCAAGCTTATGCCAGTTTTTGTGGCTGGTTTCTGAGTAACCAAGAGACGGAAAGTTTTCATTAGGTTTGGATTGTAGCTTTCCTGTAATGCACACATGCCAGGTGAGTTGGCCTAAGCCAGTGAGGTGTCCCCCAGGTAAAACACATTTCTGGTTCGACTGAAGAAGGGGAGCAGGAGAAGGGCTGGCAAAGTAGCCAATAAGTACAGCAAAGCTTCAAGCACTGCCAGTAGCCTTGAGGGTGGTTCAGTTCAGGAGGTTCAAAACAATTGCCAAAGAAACGGTGCAAATATTTTCCATCCTTTCCTATGAAATGGCATGGTTTGTTTACTGTTGCTTGTTTACCTGTTCTGCATGGTATGTTGAATTTATCAGTCAAATAAACTGTAGGGGGTAATGGTACTTTAATGATGATGTTTTGACTTTTGCTGTGTTTATTCTGTGTTTTCTGACTTATACTTAGAAAATCATATTCAGATGGCTTTTTCTTCTGCTGTTCTGTCTCAGGCTGCCCCTTAAAAGAAAAAGCAGTAATCTGGCAAAATGAACTCAGAACACACAAAGAGGAGCCACTGGAGACTAATCTGCAAGGTATTCAGGTATTTGCACTTTCATATCCTACACCAATAATTGGTGCACACACATGGTATGTCCTGCAGTTCTTGTTCTTGTTAACTCACACAAAGTGGATGAGAAAATTACATAAATAAACAAAAAGTCATGTGAAAGATGAAATTTGTTTAGTCAGAATGTCCCCATGCAACTTAAAATGGAGCCAGGTTTGAAAAGGTAGAGTTGCAGCTCCAAGTTCAACACACATTGATGGTAGTGTCCATCACATCTGTTAGCCAGGTCAGATTTTACCATCTGTTAATGCCCAGAGCACTGATGGCCATCTGAGAAGTGGTGGAGAAAGAGGATCCTTCTCTGACGTCCACTGGAGCAGAGTGAACAGTCCCTCCTCTGCTGATGGGCTAAAGCACTGTGACACTCCCAGTGACCTCAGGAATTAGGTCCTGTAGGCTAGGCCTACAGTGAGGAAGAAATTCATTTTGGTTCCCAGAGATGCCAGAGGTCTTGTGTCACTTGACAGGCCTCAAGGATTTTTGTGAGCTTTAGGTTGCGTATGTCCTGTATACAGCTGAAAGAAAATAAGGCATTTACAGTTCTTAATGCAGAAATGAGACTTTCTAGTTGGAAAGCGATAACAGTCTAGAGAAAATTTGTAATTTTCTAAATAATAGGAAAATAGATTTATTTTTTTTTTAAGAATAAATATAGTAGAAGGTAGCACAGCACTGTTGAGTCTATGTTCCATGACTGAAGCAGGAGAGAACACTTGTGTGATTCCTTTTCCATGCTCTGTGTGAGCAGGTGATGACAGACATGTTATGGATGTGCAAAGTGACGACTTAATGGCAGCACATAATTGCATACATGTTTGTATGATGATGTAAGTGCAGAGGTTGGCTGCACACAGATTCGTGGCTGATTAACTGGGAGAAGCAAATGAGCTGCTAATGGCAGGAAAGGTAAGAATTGTGCTTGCAGAGTGCACCAATACCAAGGTGCATTAGGAGAAAACATTTTATTTGTACAGTTATTACAGTCATATGTTATCTCATTGCAGTGATTAAGATGTTAATTAATACTTAACTATTGTTCATAATTAAGTATTTTAAACAAACCCACAAAAGCAGAGGTATCTCCTAAGGGTTTATATTTAATGATTATATTACTGATACATGAAAAATCACTCTTGTTGAATGTTATATCATCTGTGACTCTCTGAAAAGCAGATGCAAGTAAACAGCAAAGTGACTGTGGGTATTACTTTAATTCCTGAACTACACAGTCTATCAGCTTCCAGATATTTATACACATTGGTATTGTGTGTGTGTGCATTCATGTGGTTTTGGCAGTGTGTTCATTGACACTGTTGATGTACTCTTTCAGATTCTGCTACCAAACTGCTTCTGGGACTTCATGCAGTTTGCTTCATCTGAGAGAACCTCAGGTAAGTTATATGGAAAATTGATAGTAATCCCAGAGTACCAGGTTTTGCTGCACACAGTGCAGATGTAACACATGGGACCAGTGAATAATGGTATAGTATTTTTATTATTACTTACTACTACTTTTCCTTTTAGTATATTTTATTTTGTTTTATTACTTTTTCTTTCAGCATTGGTCTTCCAATGCAAGTAGTTGCTTGCCATGGCATCCCAAAAAAATAAAGTCAATGGTGAAAATTCCTGGTTTTCTACCAAGTGTTCTAGAAACTTGAGCCAGCTCATTAGCCTTCAGAAACATCCTCAGTCTCACTTTAGAACTACAGTTTTCTCTGTAAGAATAGGAAACTGCTGTCAGAATCTCCTCATGCAGACTTAGGATAGGTTTCTATTCAACTTTGAAGAGTGATACTGTTTTCTTGTAAGAAGATTAATTGTATCTAAATAATTTAGACTTTTAACCCTTTTAAAAATAAATACACTTGCGATTAAAAAATATTTCACCACTCCATTATGCAGTTTCTTCAAAAGAGTTATCACTTAAAGGCAGGAGAAACAGGCCTTACACCAATTTTGTTGACAATAGATGGGAAGAATAGTACCTGAGAATAATCTATAAGGTGAAATCAGGGACTTGTTCTATACCCAAAGGTGGTGGTCAAATCAAGCATCCAGTATTTTAGATGTGAATTACAGACCTTCCTTAATATTCTGAAAACTCATCACTGTGGGAAAAATAGACTTTGAATTTCATACTGTGATCATTCCTCAAAATCAGAAAACTCTAAAAGTCAGATTTTCCTCTTAGAATTTTCAGACTGTATATGATTTGGGTAGCAATGAGTAATAGCTTGTTAGCTATTATAGAAAGGCATTTTTTTTTTCCTTTGGGGAAAAAATGTACTTAATGCTTTTTGCAAACATTTCATGTTTTTAACACTACCTTGATACACTATTTTCTAAACAAATTACAGGTATAACAAAGCTACTTAAAAGTCTTGCTGTCTTTGAGAGATACAGCTTTTAATTTGGTTCTGTTTTCATAGAAGGAGTGCTTCCATTTCACAGATTTTTTGTCATTTTGGAACCTGAGAAACTTGCCATCAGTATTTTATCACAGTCAGTAGTTCTAGAAGATTTTGGTGCTTTAAAAGGAACTTTTCCTAATTATGAAACTGCAAAATTCTCAAAACCCTAATCCTTCTCATTCCAAAATACCCTGCATTGAGCACAGGAAGAATTAATATCAAATAACTGATAGAGAATGTGGTGTTTGCTGGGTCTGGAAACCAAGGCAGTGGTTCCAGACAGTGCAAGGAGAGTCAGTTCTGTGTTCTGAGCTTTGGTTCTGCACTGAGTGGTGACCATGATGTCAGGGTGCTGTTAAGTTGGAGGGGAAGTTTGGATGCCTTTGTTTCAAAACTGTGGTTTTGCACCTACTACACAGCCCAGACATGAACAGTTCCTGATGCAAAATTAAGACTAGGGAATGTCATCTGTAAAATCTAAATGCAATGATGACACTGAGGAGGGAAAAAAAAATTAAAGACAGCCTTAATTTTTAAAGTTCTTTAACTTGTGGTCTCAAGTTTGGTTTCCTTGATAATGCTCAAAACCATGAATTGTTAGGGGTTTTTTTTCCCCTTTTATTTTTTATTTCTGAAGGCAGGACATTCATTGGACCTAAGTAGCATTTATTGAACAGTAATGTGGGGCAGGAAGAGAGTTTCAGATATGAATTAAGTCTGAGTTATAGTGATTCCTAACTGACAACAAAACACCCAAGAAGAGACATGAGACAGGATTAGATGAAATGAGACAAGCCATGAAAGAAAGGACAAATTTATGACTTACTGGCCTACAGATGGGAAGATATGAGTGGAGAATGAGATCATCAGGCAGAAGTCTGCTCGGGGAAAAGGAAGGGGTTCACAGGATACATCCCAGTAGTCTCCTGTGCATATTGGGAGGATTGATTTAAGCTGTGAAATAATCAGTGTTAAAAATGATACAAAGATGGGTTAGGTCCCAAACCTCCAAATCTAGCCTTTTTTCTCTCCCTATACTTAGAAAAACACAGACACAACAGTTAGGGTGACCCAGAGCGTGCAACAGTACATGCAGACCACACACTCCAAGGGTAGTCACACCTAGGTAAATCTTACCAGCCTGCTTTCAGTGTTGGTAGTGCAGGGTTCTTTTCAGCAGTTTAAGAAAACTGCTGTATTGCTTAGAACAAAGACAGGAGGCAAAATTTTTGCCTTCAATCTAAACGATTCTCACCTAAAAGATGAAAATAAGACCTTGGCTGCTCACAAAGGCCTGTACAAATCTGTGAAGTTGCTGTGTTACCGTAGCCATGGTCCCTGCCCATTTTCTAATTTGGTTCTTGTATCCTCTGCAGAGAGATGAGGAGAATCTGTTTGGAGAAATGTACTGAATTCTGCACTTCAGCTGAATCTGTAGAATATGTTGACAGCCTCTTCAGAAAAACTTTCCTGGTGGAAATTCTTCTTATATCTGATTCTGATAGGAAGGAAGATAGAGGAAGAGGCAAATGTGTGTTTCTCCTAGGTTCAATCATTTTTGCTCCAAGATTTAGCTAAGAATACTAAGGACTCATCTGTGCATGTGGACAGGTTGAATTAAAAGTTATTAAACTTGGTAACAGATTGGTAGAACTTCAAGTTATCAGTAGAGCAGTTTTGATTTGGCTGGATGTATGAAACTTAATTTGGAATATAAAGGTGAACTGCACTAAAAATTCACAAAACTTCTATTATTCTTTAACTATTTCTGGAGCTATTTAGTTTTGGATGGAACTGAAAAAAATGGGTAGCTTTTTAGAACAGTAAAGTTAAAAAATTGTGAAACTTTTTTGCTCAATTTGAGCCAGTGGGCTGAAACATGATTTGGTTAACCCCTCAGTGTGTAATACTGTGCATTTTGTTTAATTATTGCTGATCATTCACTCCACAGCAGTGCGCATGGAGTCAGAATTCCCTCCAGGAAGGGCTGGAACATCTGAGCATAGCGGTGGGGCTCATCCTGCAGCAGGAGGACTGTCCAGCTGCTCAGACTGGCACCTGTCCTCAGCCCAGTCCAAACCCAAATGCCTAAGGAAGTGTGTAAGGACAAGGAAATTGTAGATCATATTTCAGCTAAGTGATATCTTGGTGCTCTCCCACCCCCAAGAAACATGCAGCCAGGCATAGTTTATTTCTCATTAGCAACTAAAGCGGATTTCTGTTCTGTAAACTTGCCCGACCTCCTCTGAGCCTTACGGCCTCCCTCACAGGGAGTCCTACAGCATGACACACCTGTTGTGAAGAGTCACTTTGTTTTTGTTTGTTTTGAAACTACCTCATGCTAGTTGGAGATGAAAGGATGCCTTCTAGAATCTGACAGTAAAACTAGAAAAGGTTTTTTAAGATTGTATTTTTGAAATGTAATTTGTGTTTAGGCGTTAGGTTAGTATGGTGGATATAGCACAGTTAAGTAATCCAGGACCGGGTTGCCTTGTGGGTAAAACAACTAATCTAAAGGGTCTGTACTTCCAGGGAAGTCAAGTCTTAGCAGCCATATCAGTTTTAAGCATGGGCATATTTGCTGGTAGCAGAAAAATTCCTGATTGGTTCCAGTTAATGAATCATTTGAGCATGCATTTAACTCCTCTGTGCATTTCAGACTGAGTTGTGCTGGGGTACTGAGTCTGGGTGTTACTCTGAAGGTACCTCTCTGTTTGTAACACGGTGGGATTTTTTTTGTTTGCTGGATAAATACCATATGCTTTTGACTTTGCTATCCTGTGTTGGATAGTGTTGGTTTTGTGCAGAGACCTGATTCTAACTGGGAGGTTATTGAGATCAATGTGTTCTGGGATGTTTCTGCTTCCCAATGATAAGAGGGATGAATGGTAGAGAGAAGTAATGGGAAGAGAGAGGTAAATGTGCATGAAGAGCCCTGAAATCTAAAGAAGATAGGAAGAACATGCATCACCAATCAGTCTGTTGCATATTGAGACACAAGATCTCCTTGGGATGGGGTAATAAATACTTTGGTAACTTCAGCTGCCTGAGCCACTGTGTCTGTAGACATGGTTTCCCCTTGGTAGCACCTTCTATGAAATAAGAACACAGGAAGAGCTTCAAATGGAAAACAATGGAAAGAGAAAAGTATTAAAATTACTATTTTCTCACCAGGTTTTGTAGACTAATAAAATTATTCCTGCAAAACCGAATGACCATCCAAACAAACATACAAAATCATAATTGAGAGACTGATATTAACTAAATTGCAGTAGGGTCTTGCTGTCTGTGGGAATTTTTCCTTACTAGATTTCATTTTGAGAAGTTTTCTTAAGGCAAATGGACTTTACAAGTCTTAGTCCACTGAAACTGAGCTGTCTTAAAAGTCAAATCTTGTCTTTTGGCAAAATATAATAAATATAATGCATGACATGATGTGGCATTACATAACATAGCATAACAGTGATATTTCTAAATGAGTAGAGTTCCAGGTTAAAATTCAAGGCAAGCTGTGTATAATAAAATATTTGATCCATTTATATCCTAAATTCCTTAGGAAAAGATAAAACTTGGGAGAAGAAATATAACTTCTTTTTTATATGACATAATGGGACACGGAAAGATTTGGGTCACAATTTCAGTAATTCTGAAGTCCTGTTTAGATTGTGGGACAGAAGACTGGACTTTGAAAAATGCTTAGCTGTATTGGCCCTGAGCTATTCCAAATATTTGATCATAAGAATTGGAGCAAGAGCAGGTTGATGCTGTGCTGACTTGGAAACCTGTCACCAGTGATGTCACTAGCAGTGGAAAATAGAGAAGCTGTTTTGAAAATCTGTTTCACTGCAGGAAATAAACGTGGATGCTGACATTTTACCCAGTGTCTAAGCAAAACATCTTTCTGGCTTTTTGTAAGTATTCTTGATAGACAGAGGGGTAAAGGGGAAGGAAACAGAATGACTGAAAAGTGATGGAGAGGAATAAGGGCAGTAGGATAGCAGGTGTAGGAAGAAAATGCCATGGACAGTACATTGATGGCAGTGAAAGATGCAGCCTATCACAATCCATGTCAGAAGTAGCTTGAGATGTTGGAAGCAGTAAGAAATGCGAATTACTTTTCCCACAGGTGTTGCTGTTGAGCAGAAATTGGAAGAAACTGTGAAGGTGAATAGACTGGGAAAATGGTCCTGCCCATCATCACAGGAAACCATAAACCTCACCACTGTGGGACAGGAGTGACCAACCATGACCATTTTTGCTGCCTTAGGAACATCCCCATTCCCTCTATTTTTCAGATAAGGTAAGAAATTAGTTAATATCTGAATTGAATTGGGAAAATACTGTTTTTAATCAAACTGAATGCAGCCTAAGCAAAAAGCCTGAATACAAACTTCTAAAATCAGTGACTTTATACATCTTCCAGAGGCCATATATGTCAAGTGTACACCCTTTTTTTGGACTGATACAGTAGAAGTGTCTTAACAGAGTGCTGATGTAATTCTGTCTGTTCATTTTCTTTCTTGAAGCTGTTTGCTGCATTTCAGACAGGTTAAAATGGAGTGTTTTTCTGACTCTTGGGAATGACATTCAGCTTGCCTATTATATCTTATTAAAGGCTTTGTCAGGTTTGAAAATGAGAAATGTTCAAATAAAAACAGTGTCTAGAGAGAGAGGCACAATATGCTTTCTTTTTCCAGCCTGTTAGTAAGTGAGTAGTGGGAGGTAAAGTAGGGGTCACTACAGGACTGGGGGCTACTTTAGTCCTTTCTTTAACTGAAAAGAGGAAAAAATGTTTATTTGTTAGAGAACAGCCTGTGTTTGTGTGCACTCAAAATGCTGTCTGATTTGCTGATGTTAGTGACAGACACTGCGTGCATTTAATGTCCTTGGACAAGAATTTGTAGTAATTCTGTTTCCTTTGTGGAGATAATTGAGGCACACAACGGATGTCATTAAACATTAGCGCTGTACTACCTGGCCACAGGGGAGCAGAGGCAAGGCAGGAGTGATTTGACCAAGTGATTGGCAGGACTGGGGTGAGAATAAACCCTGGACCAAGCCCTGCAGTCGAGGGTGAACACTTCATTGTACTTACAACATCAACAGTTGCTACACAAATCATGGAATTGTTTAGGTTGGAAAAGACTTCTAGGGTCATCGAATCCAACCATCAAATGCAGAGGAGAAAGTAGTTTTGTGTGTAGAGACAAAAGATACAGCTGTGCTAAATACTGTACAAATACACAGTAAGAGGAATCCTCATCACAGCACTGCTCAGTCTATCTAAATGAGGGGGAATCTCCTGTAAATTTCTTTTTAATAGTAAGTCAAGGTAAGCTCTGCCCCAGCTGAGCAAGATTTAGACATGTTTCTTTTCTCCTCAAATCAAAACTACGCTAGTTAAAGGGGACACCTTTTAATTAATTTCTCCAAATATGGTGTACATTGCATTATTTCACAGAATTATTTAGCTTAGAAGCACAAGCTTCCCTAAGCCTCATGGTTTGTGTAGTATCCTCCTTATCTATAAATAAACAATATATGACCTTTGTACTCCAGAAGCATAGTAAAGACCCTGGCAGGACATCACAGAACCTCTTAATATAACTTTCAGCTATTTGTGGGAGTCTGCCTCCATGTCACTGAGAAACAGAGTTGGTGGTGACAGTTCAGATTTTGCCTCCTCCTTCCGGAAGCCATTTCAGTCATGCAGGCAGTTATGTATCTTACTGTGCATTTATAGCTTAAGGAGTCATTTCCACTTGGAAATAGTCCTGGCACAGCGAAGATGGACAAAGAGTGCAGGTAGAGGTACAGCTCTGTTAGTCCTTTAAGGTACTGAGATTAAATGTATGTTTACCGGGTTTCTGTTTCAGTGAAAATTGCAATAATAAATGTGATTATGTACAGCTCAGTAAAGATGCAATTTAGAATGTTAAAATATTTATGTTAGCTCTCAAAATACCACCCTAAGTAGGTGTTATATTAAAATTGCACATTAAAACAAAATACAGATTTCCCTTTCCTACTTAATGTCAGTTACATTTCAATTGAAAATATTTTGCAGTTTTTAGTTTCCTGTTTTTCTCTGCTTACATAAAGAAACTTACAAGTTTAATGAATTTATGCTTAGATCCTTCAATATTTAAACTTCTGTCTGTTTTGATAACTAAAATTAAGAGCAAAATAAAATTTAAAAGTGTAGAATGCAGGCATAGTGTTTCCACATGGCCAGAACATTTTCAGATGTTCATAAATGTCGCACTGTTCTGGTGCGTCATATTAATATTTGAAGCAAATACGTTTTCAGCTGTAGGAAGGCTTTCTTAGGTCCTTTTTTTGGGTGTCAGACCTCCAGTAAGCTGTTTAACATGAGGGCTGCTCCAGTGACACTTGCTGAAACGGTATTTGTTGGAGTGCATGTGGCAAAGCAGCCACTTGTTTCCAGGTGTCTGAAAAATGCAGTGATATTTCAGGTGAAAGCAGTGTATTCTACTAGCAAAGGTGGTGATCTTTTTGTAAAATTAAATTCTGTATTTTGGACAGAAGTTGTGATTTTTAAGGTTATACTTGCATTGATGATATGTTTTAGTTTGTATGTTGTTTCATTTACATGGTTCACCTACATCCTTGTAGCCAGGTGCAGAGCTGTTTGTATCTAGTAAGTAAGTGTCTACTCTGAGGATATTTTTATCAACGATTACACAAAGGAAACCGAAATTAAAGACTTCCCCATAGACTTTGCAGATCATACACTGTTTTGTTGTTGAATTAATGAATGTTCAGTGCAAAACTACAAATGGAAAATGAGCTGCCATTGAAAGGTAAATTCAAATGAGTTTTATGGATCCTTTGTTTTTCTTGCATCCTTGTGATTGCACAAACACTATATTTTAGGGAGAGTGAGAGAAAATCCTAAGGGCAGCTGTCAGAACCAGGACAGAGATTTGGTTTAGTCACTGGTCTCCATGCCAATGGACTTCTCTTTCTATCCTTCCCTGCTGCTTGACCTAAAAATGGATTTTGGAGTACCAGAGCTTGTGGCCTCAGTTATGTGGATATATGTTGTGAGAATTAGTGGTGTCAGTGGAACTCAGGGTTGATAAATGCTACTATTATTTTACAATTAGGTATTAAATGTTACCTGTATTACCCACTCAGGACAGCACACTGCACTTCAGGAAAGAAACACATAACATGACTTGAAGAAAATGAGAATGTGTTTAAACAGAATGTCTCTGGGATAGTCCAGGGAGAGATTAAACTGGAATTCAGATGGTGTCTTTTGTAGGTACATACACAAGCAAGAAATTATCGAAATGGGAGAGCCAAAGTGAGGTGCTTAGCTTGCCCTTTTTTCCCTCAGTAAAATCTGGGAAGTAAAACTTCAAATGTCACATGAATATTGAAGCCTATTTTTGTTTGCTTTTAGTTTATTGAAAAATAATAAATGATAAAAAAATAATTCCAAGGCTTCTTTTTTTCTTCCTGCTGTTGTTGGGTAAGGATTCTTTAAGTATTGTCAAACTGGTTGACTTATGATAGGTGTGAAATAGTCATGAATAAACAAAACCAGAATGTTTTTTTATGTTTTTGTTCCCAACTAACTTTTTACTGTGCTGACACTCTCAGTGATTATTTATAATTGTATGAAAACTGTGTCTGTCTGGATGAATATGAAAAAATACGCTTGGTTTAGTTGTGCATATGAAGAAAAGGAACTGCCTGAAATATTTTTCATTCCTCTAGTTAATTCTTGATTGAAATCCATTGAACATTGTTATTCTTTTGCTGGTAATGCACAGACAAAAGGGCAGACTGTCACCAAAGAGCATTCCTTAATTCATCTTTCAGAGGATAAAAATTAACAACATGTTATTTATTTTATGGATATGTATGTGCATAGTTAAATGTATATCAGTTATAATGGGCCAAGGAAAGTGGAAAAGGAATCCTTAGTGAACAGATGGAATGGGAGAGAGAGAACCAGAATGGAGCTGGCTTTGAGATTTGAGGCAGAGGAAGGCATTTCATGTGCAAAAGATCAGGCTCCTATTGGATTCCCAGTACTGGGGGCATAAAACTTTAATTTCCTTATAGAAGCATAGCAGTTTGAAGTAATAGGTTTGACAGCAGAAGATGAATATTGGTTTTCTTTTTAATTTATTATTTATAATTTAAGAAGTTGTTATAATTTATTATATTTTATTTTACCTTGCCTTTAAAACTACTAATTATTATTTAAAATAATTGAGTATGGTTTAGAATATGGATTTACACAAATACATATATATATATATACATTATAGAAGAAAAACCTGTGAAGCAAAGAAAACAGATTTAGATTAGTTCAATTTGACGTTGTGTGTGTAAGAAGGAAGCCTAATTTGTACTAATGACAATAAAAATAATTTTGTGAGGGTAATGTTATGACCCACCCCTGAAGGCCAAGTAACTGAGTTTCTTGTTAATAGATCCCTTGGGGTGGATTAGGGTGAAATGACGCTGTGTATTTAGAGAGGTGGAGAGATAGACAGCAGGTTTATTTTACAACCATTTAGTTGCAATGGAAAGGAGGTATGTAGCTGTTTTGGTTAGTATCTACAGAAAAACGGCACTATAAGAGTATAAAAATATCACTTAAGAAAACATATAGGGAAAAGGAAGAAAGAGAGAGAGAGAGAGAAAGAAAAGAAAGAAGAGAAAAAAGAAGGGAAGGGAAGGGAAGGGAAGGGAAGGGAAGGGAAG